ATAAAAAAACCAAACAGGCAAAAAAAATGAAAAAACAAAATTCAGCAGGACTATAAAACCCTATTCGAAGTAGCTCTCGAAGTTCGCCAAAACGTTTCTCGAATCCGGTGTTTTTGCCAACTCTTTCGTTACTCGTCCAAATACGCTGAAACAAAGTACAGATATACCTTAAAGCACATACATATCAGACAAAAAAACAGAACAAAAAAACCAAAAATTCAGGGAAATATGGCAGTTTCGGTGAAAAATTCGCCGAAACTGACACCACCTATTAACCACGAGTGCCTCCTCGCGCTAGGGTACTTTCTCCGCCTCCTCATCCTCCGACTTCGCACACCCAACGAGTGGCTACCCTACAGGCCACAGTGGCGCAGCTCCAGGCTGAGATTCTCTCCCTGAGACAACCTCACCTTTCGCAGGCTGCTCACGCTTCTTCTTCCTATACCGCCCCTCCCATCTCTGTCTTGCCAGCTCGTTTCCCTCGACCGACTTCCCCACCTCTACCCTCCTACCTCGCTACTCCATCACAGTTGGCTGTGGCCGTTGCGTCCACGTCGGTTGGACCTTCCACCAGCAGCCCCGGCTCTCAACCTGCCACCACTTCTACCTCTGCACCGGCCTCGACATTTGTCACCGCAATGCAGACCCATCAACCCTTCTCCCCTCGCCGTTAGCACAGCGGTCCCACCCTTGTGCGTCTGTCGGACATCCCCAACTTCGATGGTACAATGCGTGTGTCGCATTGGTTGCATGTTGCCACACGTGCGCTGACATTGACTAACACTAGTCAGGCGTTGTGGTGCTCCACGCTCACAACGAAATTGTGAGGCAGCGCATTCTCCGCATGGGAGAACTATTATACCTATCGTACTCGCTCAAGGGAGACTCCCACTCTCGCAGATTTCACCGTGTTTCTCCATGACCGCTACGACACTCTCCACGATGCGACCGACGCCTTAGATCGGGTCACTCAGACGCAGTGGCATAGGTCCTTCGCACCAACCGATCTTGAGCGCCATATCATAGTGTGTTCCGACTGACTACCGCATCGAGCTCTGATGACAGAGCTTCGCCTCCTCAGAGCAGGCCTACAAGGCTGCTCGACAGTACCAGAAGATATGGAGTCGCTTAACTGACGCCCCATCTTCTTCATGATCCACCACAGCCGCCACCCAGTCACGCGGCACCACGCGCGGTCGATCCTCCTTCGTCGGCCGCTTTCACCGACCATCTCGACCTGGAGCGCCATTCTCTCTGCACTACAGTTCTCTAGAGTACGGCGAGGATGCCTCGACCGAGCTTGATCCTACCCTTGGGGACTCCCCCGAGGACATCGAGCTCTGAGACGCCATCCAGTATTACTTGGATGACGACAATCTCCCGGTGGCCTAGTGCCTGCAGATGGCCATGTCCGCCATGGTCGTGCGCGCAATCGGGTTGCACAGGCTGACGCTCGTACGATCACGGTTCCTCAGATAGACCTCCCGTAGGGTTTTGTTCCTCTTCGCGGAGCTCTGTCTCCTAAGGAGTGCGCCACCCTCGAGGCCCGTCGTGGCCACCTTCATTGCTGCCAAGATGGACACACCTCCTCACGGTGTCCATACCAGGCCCCCCTCGATTGGCACTATGCCGACATTTCTCATCAGCGTCGATCTCAGTCCCCCCCGGCCTCGCCCGGCCAGCCCCACCCAACTAGCCACGGTGCAGTGTACCGCTGACGCCTCGCATGTAGCCGGCTTCCCGACCACCGAGTCGCAATTTGCCCCTTTGGCTACCCCACCAGAGGATCCTCAAGACACGACAGACGCAGTTCCCTCTGCCCCACTGTCTGTCGAGGTTCCATCTGCCCCACAGCATACTGCCGCATCTAGTCCTTCCCCTCCGAGACTTCCGACGCGTCGGGCCATTCGCACAACTCGTTGTAGTGCCCAGTTGGCGACTCGCGATGACGTTGTGTCATCTCTCCTGGATTTGAGCATCCTTCAGGCTCGCCAGGAGCGACTCACGAGACATGTAAACATCCTGCGTCGTCTTCTCGCTCTACTCTCTGACCCTGATTGCACCCTCCCCATCATCCCTATTCGCCTGGGACATCTACGAGGGTGTACCGCGCTTTATAGGACTCTGGCTCATAAGGAGACTTCGTTCACCCTCACGTGGTTGAGGAAGATCGCCTAGATACCTCTGGGTTTCACTCTCCTATATCCATTACCCTCGGAGATAACAAAACGCAGGGTTTTTTTTATCAGACGGTCCCCGACCTCCACTTCTCCCTCACCCTCCAACCATCGGATAGTACCCCAGGCGCCTCGGCACTACCATTCCTCCACATACTTCGACGTGCTGGAGACTGGGTATAACTTTATCCTTGGCACTCCCTGGTTTCGCCGGTTTCGCGGCACAAAGGTCGAATGGGCGATTGAAACACTTGTTCTCAAAATGAAGTGTGGTCAAACTCATCGAGTCTCTTTCATTAGAACCACGGGCGACACCCCTCCAGACCTACCTCCCAGGACCCTCGTCCCTCTGGGTCCCACCCAGATATCGCCTTCACCTCTCCTCGTTAGTTTGCTCACTTCATACGACAGAAGGACGTCACGTTCTACTTTGTGAACGTCATGGATCTTCTTCTCTACGATTCACTCTGTCCAGAGGTTGAGCTCATCTCATTGGAGCTCAATCCCCCTGACCCTTCTTCCATCTTCGTGGCTCCTATTTCCACATCCACCCATCAGCCTGCGGATACCCCCTCGACGTTTCAGGTCCCGTCGCCATTCACTGCCGAGTCCACCCATACGTCTCGTGCCGACGCAGTAGTTGAGGAACTCATGCGGTTCATGGTTGACTTAGAGCCCGCCGTTCACGATTACCACCACATCTGCGTAGATATAGAAGACCAGCCGAAGACCGCCTTTCGGTCTCGCTTCGGCCACCACGAGTTCATGGTGATGCCATTCGGCCTCACCAATGCACCCGCCACCTTCCAGACGGCGATGAATGACATCTTCAGGGACATCCTTGAAGAATACGTTCTCGTATACCTGGACGACATCTTGGTCTACAGTCGTACCTTGGAAGACCATATCAGGCACCTCCGCGATGTCCTACAGTGCTCACTCAAGCATGGCTTCTATGCCAAGCTTAGTAAGTGCCGCTTCGCCCAGCGCAAAGTGAACTTCCTAGACCACCATGTGTCTGACCAGGGTCTCCACATGGACGATGTGAAGATCACTGCTATTGCAGAGTAGCCCGTCCCCACATCTGTCAAGCAGCTTTGCAGTTTCCTAGGTCTCACTAGTTACTATATTAATTTTATCCACGGATACGCTAGGTATTCCTACGTCCTTACCTCTACCCTCCTCCGGAAGAACCCGCCCTGGTTTTGGACACCCCTCTGCGAGGACGCCTTTTGCGCCCTCAAGAAGGCGGTGACTTGTGCGTCGGTTCTTCGCCTTCCTGTTTTGATCGCCCCTTCATCATCACCACTGATGCGTCAGATTTTGCAGTAGGAGCTGTACTTTCTCAGGTGTTTTCCTCTCCTCCCAATTCACCTTATCCTCATGTTCCTCCTTTACCCCCCCTCCTGCTGACACGCATACCCTCCCACGACTTTCGTGCACTGACAGTCCTCCCGTTACTTACTCCCTGACCATCGCGAAGGACGGGACTGTCGAGGCTCGTGTCGGGGATTGCCCGATCGCCTTCTACTCTCGTCAACTATTGCATGTCGAAATAAACTAAACTGTCGATGAACGTGAGGTTCTCGCAGTAGTTTATGCTACCCGACATTGGCGTCACTACCTGCACGGGGCGCCCTTCACGGTGCGCACAGACAACTCAGTTGTCCAGGCTTTCCTCACGAAGCCCAAACTTTCTCCTCGAGAGGAACGTTGGTGGCATGACTTATCCAAGTTCAGTTTCACCACTCAGCCCATCAAGGGTGAAACGAACCGTGTCGCCGATGCCTGTCCCGCCCTCCTGATCACAATCAGGAACCCATCCATCTTGCTGTCATCTCCATCACCACTATTGATCAGTTGGTGATCGACGCATATCGCGCTCAGTACCGCCATTGCCCGGATTAACTTGTCATTCATGCGACACTGCGGAGTGGCAAGACTGTTCCCTCATACTCCCTCAGTGAGAACGATCTCGTGTACTGGCATGGTAGATCTGGTCAGCTAGAACCACGTATCTGCGTTTCCTCCACCGGACAACTCCGTGTCCAGGCTGTACCCGAGTTCCATGACCAGACAGCTACTGGTCATATGGGCTTCCACAAGACGTTGGTTCGGGTTTGCCGCCTATACGTCTGGCCAAAGTCCAAGGACTTCGTCAAAGCCTACGTTAAGGAGTGTCCTACCTGCCAGGAGGTGAACAATGCGAACCACCTTCCGTATGAGTTACTTCAACCCTTACCCATACCCGAGGGTCGTTGGCAGTCCATCTCGATGAATTTCATTGGTCCCCTCCGCCCACCCACTGAGCGCGGTCATGATGCCATCTTGGTTGTCGTTGATCACTTCATGAAGTGTGCACGTTTTGTCCTGTGCCGCTATTGCATTAGCGCTCGTGAGGTCGCCGACATCGTCTTCGTCGGAGTCATGAGAGATCACGACTTACCTCAGAGCATCATCTTCGACCATGCCCCGCGCTTTACTAGCACATTCTGGTGGTGCCTACATGAGATGTACGGATCCCATCCCCGCTTCTCATCATCTTACCGCCCTCAGATGGATGGTCAAACTGAGGTCACCAATAGAACTCTCGGTAATATCCTCCGAAAGTTTGTTTGGGATGACCAACACTGGTACTTACACTTAGCCCACGCGGAGATTGCGTACAACCACGCTGTTTCGCCAGCCACGGGGATGTTGCCATTCTATTGCCACCTCGACTACCACCCTCACATACCCGCGAACTTCCTACAACCATCGCAGTTGCGCCCAGACACTCGTTGTCCTGCACTTGAGGACTGGATCGCCCACATGGCGTCGACTATGAAGCACACACACGAGAGTCGCCGATTCCCTGACTCGCATGGCCGCACGAGCAAACTAATCACGAATGGATCACATATTCAAAGTCGGTGACGATGTGCTCGTCGACGCACGCCACTTGCAGCTCGAAGCGGATACGCTTCACATGTTCAGGCGTCGTTTCTTCGGTTCATGTCGCATCCTTCAAGTCGTCGGTTCTGATACTGCCGCTAGTCCGATCAGCTTCCGTGTGAAGCTACTTGATTGTCTTCGACAGGCTCGCGTACACGATGTTTACCACGTCTTCTTGCTGCGTCCTTATCGCAGACCGTCCGAGTGCTTCGCCGGACGCTCTTATGAGCGCCCTTCACCCATCATGGTGGACGGTCACGAGGAGTTCGTCGTTTCCGATATCGTATCTTGCCGAGTTATCGACGATACCCCTCCACGCATCGAGTACCTTGTGCGTTGGAAGGACTATCCTGATGAGGAGGCTACTTGGGAGCCCCTCGAGTACTTGGAGCACCCTCGGATGTTAGTGCGTGCATATGATCGTGCTCGTCGTGCTGAGACATCTGCTCCTACTCAGCCGACTGACCCTCTTCCTCCTCGTCAGGCTGAGGAAATTGCTGAGGACGAGCCCGCTCCCTCTAAGGCAGTTCTTCAGCAGCAGACGGACACCTCTGTGCGTCCACAGTGCACTCGTCGACGCCCTCGGCGTCTCGATGATTGACACTCTGATCACCTACTATCTCCCGACTGACTCACACCATAAGGTATTCCATCATCAACTTCTTCAGGATGTCGACGTTTTGAGGCTCTGCTTCGACATGGACTCAACTCCTACTTCATCGACGTCATCGACCACTCGACGACTTCAGCTACCTTATCGGCTTGAGCCACTTTGGACGTGACTACTTCATGTCACCACCCTACCCTGTATATCCCCTTGCATCTGTCGCATGATGGTTCTCACTTAGCTAGGTCTATCTGAGTTGGACTCTCCCTTGGTATCGCACAAGCATTGGGACCGTAGCGTTATCTTGGCTTCCCTGCTCCCAGATATAGCTTCCTCCCCCAGTTGGTGAGTTGTGTGCATGTTTCCCTCACCCACTGCCCTCATCACCCTAATGTTGGCTCTTGCATGCCTTCAGTTAGGCATATCTCCACCCTATTCCAGGCTCCCCTTCTCATGGTCGACCCTGCATGGTGTCACCCTTCTGTTGAGCATTACCCGCCTTGATGGTCTATCTGTTAGGGTCTTTGGTTTTGTTTCGCTACCACTCTCCCACCTTGAGCCTGATGACTTGTCCCACCTTCGTGTGTGACTGCTCTTCGGAGTTTCAATTCTTAGGCTGCATTTACCCCCTCGGAGACCATCCCACTCTTATTGGTTCAGCGACATGATATTACTTGTGACACATTGCTCCTTTTCCTTTCAGCACTGAGGTCATTGCCTCTAGGACTTTAGGATTGTATCATGCTACATTTCATTTTCTGTTGTTAGTTAGGATGTGTATACCAAACATTTGCTTTTCATTTGACATTATACAGCTTAGGCTGCATCGCATGGACTCCGAATGAAGCTTCCTCCACATCCTAGATTTCTCAACTTTCTTTATTGCAGAGTTCCACTGCTTTTGCGGATAGCGTGTTTATGACTCTTGCGATCAATTACAAGTCTGAGGATCATGCAGCGGGCCTTCATCTGCCCTGACCCTATTTGGCTATTTGCCAGTTCGGCCTGTGGGACCAGGCCGTGGCCTGATCCCACAGGTCGTGTGCTGTTCCAGTCTAGTCCAGTCCTGCCCGGTACCACTGTCGGTACCAGGTCAGTCCAGTCCAGTCCAGTCAGTCCGCTGGGGGTAAACCCCAACTATTGTCTATTTTTCAGATCATTCTTCATTCTGCACTTTTCGAGTACGTGCGTGTTGAGTCCGTGTTGGAGCTGCGCTGTCCTGTCCAGCTCCATCGTCATCTCCTCCCCCTCAACCCTTCGTCTTAATCCTGAAGGATCCGTCACAAACAAGGAATATCTGGCAGCCAGATGTTGGTTGAAGAGGTGACTGTCCTCTTTTTGTCACTTCTCTCTTTGAACCATGATTATAATTCATTTGTATCAGGGACGCTGGACTTGGTTTTCAGCAGGTGCAGCTCCCCACCAATAGAATGGAGCCCGTAGCCGGGCTGCTAGTGATGGATGCTCTTATCATTATCACTAGCAACCTGGGCCGGTTAAAAAAAAAAAAAAAAAAAAAAAAAAAAAACTGGGCTCCATCCAGCGTCCTAGCTCAATTGGTTAGGCACGTAAGTGGCATTCAGGAGGTTGTGGGTTCAATCCCCAAGGCCGCCTGTGGCACTCTTGGTGCCATCCAACTGAGATAGTGAGCTGGATCCTCCCAGTCAGTATCAGTAAGGTCTTCAGCCAACAAGGGTGTCAGTGCGCATGTGACTAGGTTGCGTGTGGTGTGTGGGAGAGTGTTGGCTTTGGACACTACCATCCAGAAGGCTGCCCATCCCCCACTTCATAAGACCTTTGCCAAGCTTATTGTCTAGAACATAAAGCATGCTGCCCGAATGGTTGTGTCCCCGCGTTTGACGCGGTATAACAGTACGTAGCATAGGGTTGAGGCTGACATAGCAGCTCCTTAGTACGGGATGTCGGGGGTGTCAGAAGATACTGCACCTTACTGCGGGGCCGGAACGGGCTCAGGGACACACGAGGGAATGGAGGATTCCCAGTTCTCTGTCATCACCACACAAATGCACAGTGCAGTGACAAACCACTTTCTGCAACGCGCAAGTTTCTGCGCGGTTGCAACGAGGGATCCTAAGCTGGGAAGATTGGGCCAAATACAGGAAATCGCGATCGGTGGAAAATTGCATCAGTACCCTTGCTTCTTCGTCTTTTTCGTCGCTTCCTTGGGGCTGGGTGTGTCCTGGGACGGCCGGTTGAGTGAGTGGTCGGATGGATGTCTGGCGCGTCGCCATTCGCGCGCGCGAACTAATAAATGTTGACGTCGTCTCTTTCGGTTCGGTTTCGATCTTTTGGGTGCGAACATCGCGCGGGAAATTGCTGCGCTCTTTTTAATTTTCTTTTGAAACCTTTTTGATTTTTTGTCGAGCCCCGATGGCTCTCGGAATTTCGAACTTTCCTTCTGGAATTTGTGCCTTCTGCTTTTTTGCATTAGATAGGAATTTAGGAATTTAGTAATTAGGATTTTTCCAGCCGCGCGGCGCTTTTTGTTCACGCGCTTCTTCGCGCGGCTGCAACGGAACTCTGATTGATCGACGCCTATAATCGTCGGTGTAACTGTAATTTTAGGCAGGCGTCATTGTAACTGTATCTTTCTTCTTGCGCTTCGTCTCTCCCGCCCTCCCTCTCTTTCTTTTGCTGAAATTTTGTAAGCCGCGGCTTGCATGCTCGG